GATCTAAGGCTTCCCATGACCAGTTTGCGTTTCCAAGCTCGCCCCAGCTATTGATGTCTTGTTGAGAGGCATGCGTCCAATATAGGAAGTTTATAGCACTCGAACCTCCAAGTTGTTTGCCTCTTGGGTGGGCTATAACTTGGTTGTTTGCGTGTATCTTTGGAAGTTGTCAAGGTTTACTCCTCGTGAGGGAAATAATATCGAACCTACTTGAGGGACAGTTTTGTAGTTCCAGTCATATTCAGGATTGCTATACATGCCGGTATATAGACCAGGCGCAAGTACATTAATATCATTTGAGTGATCCGCCCCAGCTTCTAGAACAAGCACAGAAGTTTGGGGATCTTCACTCAGACGGCTCGCTATGGTTAGGCCGGCTGTGCCGCCACCAATTATGCTAGACGGGGTCAATTTACATGACGACATGGGAGACCTCCAATAACTCACATGTAATCATAACTTTGAACTGTCTGGAAAGGGGCAGTAGTGGAGAGGAGTGCCTGAAAGCAAAATAACTTGAACAAAAATTGTAGAACTGCCATTGCATCAACACGAATATTCAAAATAATTCAGCACATTGAGATATCTGAGCTTTCGCACACCTATACATACTTATACTCGCTATTTCAGACCATGCTGTTTAGTACGGTTTGTAATCAATAATATCACCAAAATGATGTTAATGTGCAGCTGAAGCTTGGAACAATGAAATATGATCAGAAAATACCTATCCGGAAGTAAGGGTATGGCAATCCGTGATAGAACAAGACAAGATACCCAACCAAACACCCTTGGCAGAAAAATGGAACGCCTAGATAGACTATCTCGGGATATTATGCTTTTCAAATCAGTCGTACTGGTTGGATTCGTAACCTGAGAACTGTCACAGGCTGAATTCGGACTCCATGTATCATGATTACTAACATGATGATTGATCAGATCTTGGTTGAACACATGAAGATGAAGATCATGCAATAAACCGAGCCGTCTGATGTGATTACTTTGCCGTCCATTTCCGGATGGTTAGAATCAATAGTTACGGCGATGAATTGGGTGGTGAAACATTTGGCCATCAAAGGGTTTAGCGCTTGATGTTACGCAAGGCTGACTGACAGCCTCGATGCCACCAGGTTTGATTGGCTAAGTGATAATCAATTTTGACTCATACGAGATTCGGTGCCCGCCCCTCGTTTCGACCCCGCCAAATTTATATCCACAGGAAACTCCTTCTAACATTCTTGAGACTTTCCATAACTCAAACACAAGCAAATATGGATTTCCCAAAAGAGGAAGAAGAAGTTCTCAGAAAGTGGAAGGAGATCAACGCTTTCGAGCGACAACTCGAGTAAGTCAACCTGCCACAAATGTAAACAAAATCAATATGTCCTGACATTGTTTATTTTCATTGTAGACTTTCTGAGGGAAAGCCTCGATATACCTTTTATGATGGACCTCCTTTCGCGACTGGTTTACCTCATTATGGTCACTTGCTCGCATCTACCATCAAGGATATTATCCCTCGATATTGGTCAATGAAGGGCTACCATGTCGAGAGACGTTTCGGATGGGACACACACGGCTTGCCGATTGAACACGAGATTGACAAAAAGTTCGGTATTTCTGGAAAGGATGCTGTCATGAAGATGGGGCTGGCAAAATACAATGAGGAGTGCAGAGCTATTGTCATGCGATACTCGTCGGAATGGCGCACGACAATCGACCGATTGGGCCGTTGGATCGATTTTGATAACGACTACAAGGTAGGTCTTTATAGAAGCGGATTGGTATCTTCAAGCTGACAATCTTAGACAATGGACCCCAAGTTCATGGAATCAGAGTGGTGGGTATTTAGTGAAATCTTCAAGAAGGGATCTGTCTACCAAGGCTACCGAGTCATGCCATACTCGACAGTTCTCACCACAGCTTTGAGTAATTTTGAAGCAAATCAAAACTACCAAGATGTCACTGATCCTGCAGTTGTCGTATCTTTCCCATTATTGAAGGACCCCTCAACATGTCTTTTGGCATGGACAACCACTCCTTGGACCCTTCCATCGCACACTGGTTTAGCCGCGCATCCAGATTTCGAGTACGTCAAAATTCACGACGAACTCTCGGGAAAGAACTATATCTTGTTGGAGAAATTGCTCGGTACACTATACAAGGACCCTAAGAAAGCCAAGTTCAAGATTGTGGAAAAGATCAAGGGTAAAGATATGCTTGGTTGGCAATACGAGCCGCTTTTTGACTATTTCTATGAAGAATTCAAGGAGCATGGTTTCAAGGTCTTGAACGCTGCATACGTCACCGACGACAGTGGTGTTGGTATTGTTCATCAAGCACCAGCTTTCGGAGAGGAAGATTACAATGTCGCAATGGAAGCCGGCATCATCAACGAGCAGCGACCAGCTCCATGTCCAATTAATGAGACCGGTCACTTCACCGAGCAAGTTCGGGATTTTGCTGGCCTTCATGTCAAAGCAGCCGACAAAGCCATCATTAAATATCTGAAGGGAACTGGGCGTCTAGTTGTCGAATCCTCTATTAAGCATAGTTATCCTATGTGTCCGCGATCAGACACACCATTGATTTACCGAGTTGTTCCTTCTTGGTTCATCAGAATTCCCGAAATTGTTCCTGATATGTTGAAGAATATTGAAGGTTCGCACTGGACTCCATCCTTTGTCAAGGAAAAGCGTTTCGCTAGTTGGATTGAAAATGCCCGTGACTGGAATGTTTCGAGAAATAGATATTGGGGAACTCCAATCCCAATCTGGGTCAGTGACGATTATGAAGAGAAGGTATGCATCAGCAGTATCGCCGAGTTGAAGGAGCTCAGTGGTTACGAAGGCGAAATTACCGACCTCCACAGAGATAAGATTGATCACATCACCATCCCAAGTAAGATGGGTAAAGGCCAACTCAAACGTATTGAGGAGGTCTTTGATTGTTGGTTTGAGTCTGGCAGTATGCCATATGCCAGTCAGCATTATCCATTCGAGAACAAGGATAAATTTGAGCAATCTTTCCCTGGTGATTTCATTGCGGAAGGTCTTGATCAAACTAGAGGATGGTTTTACACCCTTCTTGTCTTGGGTACACATTTATTCGGCGTTTCACCTTTTAAGAACTGTGTTGTCAACGGAATCGTGCTTGCAGAAGACGGCAAGAAGATGTCAAAGCGCTTGAAGAATTATCCTGATCCTGGAATTGTCATGGACAAATATGGTTCCGATGCTTTGCGTTTGTATCTCATCAATTCCCCAGTCGTAAGAGCTGAGCCATTGCGTTTCAAGGAAGCTGGAGTTAAGGAAGTTGTGAGCAAGGTTCTTTTGCCTTTGTGGAACAGCTACAAGTTTTTCGAAGGACAGGTAGCATTGCTTAAGAAGATGGAGAACGTTGATTATGTATTCGATCCTACTGCCGAAGCTACCAACACCAACGTCATGGATCGATGGATTCTTGCTAGTTGTCAGAGTCTTCTGAAGTTTGTCAATCAGGAGATGGCAGGTGAGTCGATCCTTCAAAGTTTCTTCTGTGAGTGATAACTAATAAATTCAGGTTACCGTCTCTACACTGTCGTTCCCAGATTACTGGATCTCATTGATAATACCACAAATTGGTACATTCGTTTCAATCGTAGACGTCTAAAGGGTGAATCTGGTCTAAACGACACTAAGCACGCACTTAACACCCTCTTTGAAGTCCTCTTTACCCTAACAAGAGGACTTGCTCCATTCACACCATTTCTCACAGACAACATTTATCAACGTCTGTTACCTCATATTCCCAAGGAGTTGCAAGCTGAGGATCCACGGAGTGTTCACTTCTTGGCTTTCCCAGATGTGAGAGAGGAACTCTTTGATGTAGAGGTTGAGCGCCGTGTAGGTCGCATGCAACGTGTTATTGAGTTGGGCAGAGTTTCCAGAGAACGCCGCACAATTGGTCTCAAGACCCCTCTGAAAACTTTGATTGTCATCCATCACGACCCAGTTTATCTTGAAGACGTCCGTTCTTTAGAAGGCTACATTACTGAGGAGCTCAATATCAGAGAACTCATCCTCACCTCGGACGAAGCGAAGTACAACGTACAATACAGTGTCAATGCTGATTGGCCAGTCCTTGGAAAGAAGTTGAAGAAGGAAGTTCAAAAAGTCAAGAAGGCTTTGCCAGGATTGACTAGTGAGCAAGTTCACAACTACGTGTTAGAGAAATCAATTGTTGTCGATGGTATCAAGCTCGAAGAGGGTGATTTGGTTGTCAAGCGAGGTCTTAAGGATGATGAATCTTCCAAGAACCTCGAGACCAATACAGACGAGGATGTTCTTACTATCTTAGATGTTGAACTCCATGCAGATCTTGCAGATGAGGCATTGGGTCGCGAGATCATCAATCGTGTGCAAAGATTGCGTAAGAAGGCTGGTCTTCAACCAACAGATGATATCAAGATGGAGTACAAGGTCTTAGAAGATCCTTCGAGTATTGGTCTACGTGAAGCTTTCGCTAGCCAAGCACAGGCCATTGAGAAAGCATTGCGAAGACCTTTGAACGAAGCAGAAGGAAGTGCAGCAGAAGAGAGTGTCATTCTGGAAGAGGAACAGGAGATCCAAAAAGCTACATTTTCGCTCAGATTGTTGAAGTTATGATTTGATGTTTCGTAGAAAAAGATTCGGGTATAGACAGACATTCTAGATATCTATCTTTCTGGCTTACAAATACATCCTTTCATGAAAGCACGAGAGTCATTGCATAGGATCTGTTCATTTCATATATAAATTCGCGAAATTAGGCGAAAGAATGTGTTCATGAAAACGTGAAAATCACTGAGAACTTAAGAATGCGTTTGGAATAATCTCAGTTGCTTCAGACACTAGAGGTGGCAACAGGCGTGACAATATGCTGTGCATATACCAAACTTTGCTTTGAATACGTTCAAAACTATGACATAAAACTTCACATACAGCGATGCAAACAAGTACACATTATAATTGAACAAGACGACAGATAGTATACGGCTCTTGAATGAATGAAATTTCCTCTTTAAAAAATATAGATAAACAAATCTTCTCTACTTCTTCTTCGCGGCAATCTGAATAATTATAAGTCATGAACAGTACTGGTGAAAATATGAATTGAAGACACGTACCAAATAACAATCTTTCAATTTCATGAATTCAGTAAGACATTTGTCTTTGTGAACAGAATTGTAATCGGCTACTATGCATTTGCCGTATAGAGAGGCCTATGATTGGGGTTGTCAGTTTTTGATGAGGCGGTGATGAGAGGGACAGTAATGGGTTGTAGAGACGAAAGTTTAAAGGTGCAAGGTATTCAGGAGATTAACAGCGTGAAGGATAAAGGCAGGGGATCAATGTATGATGGATGGATGGGTTGTGGCCAATAATGGGGAGGTTGTAGAGGCGAATAATGTATGTTTGTATGGAGGGGTAAGGTTTGAAGCGGGATGGATGTTGAAAGGCCAATCATATGAAGCGGGATCAAAGTAGATAGAAAAAACCAGATCAAAACGTACCTCTGTAGAGCATTTGGCAACGGCTTGTGCAAACTTCTCAATTGGCCTTATTTGAGTTGTTCGTGGAGGCATGGTTTGTGAGGATATAAAATTGTTGTGTATTTGGTGACGGTGATAGTGGTTGAGTGGCTGGTGAGTGAGGCAAGAAAGTAGTGAGGCACCAGGTACTCGTTAGTGAAGACTAACAATAATAAGCACGTGAACTTTTGGTGGCATTTGGGAAAGGTACGCTCGAGATGGTATTTCAATTGGTGTTTGCTATGAGTGATGTTGTAGTGAAGACTACGAGGGCGTGTTTTTGATGAATGCCGGGCAAAATAACCGAACTCACTAATATTTACTATGTGATTTTTATAATGAATATAACTTTATAAATATTAATAACTCTACTTTACCAAATTTACATATAAATCTTGATATAAAAAATTATTTAAATTTGAAAAGATTTTTCAAATATTATTTTTATTTTAATTGTTATTGAATTTTAAAATAGATGAGTTTGTGCTTATTTTGGTGAGGAAATGTCCCTGCGCACGGACCCGGCATTCATCAAAAACACGCCCTCGTATAAGAATTATTATGAGCTGTATTGATTCGTAGAGTTCAGATATTACCTACCTAGTCTAGTATGACAATTCATTAGTACATGATGCTACGAGTAGAAGTCAAAAAGAACGGATTTCGATTTCGATAGATCCGATGATTAGTCATCACGATAAGACATGTTATCGAGCCAATCAAAAGTACGGTAGTCGAAGCTCGCTAGATTTAGCTTCAAATACAGGGTCACTTAGCTTCGATTAGCGCCAGAAAGCTTCAGCACCAAAATTCGACCGGTAAACTTTATTCTCGTCGCGTCCGACAATTCCATTTCATACTTCCCATCCACCCAAAGTCGCGAAATCATGTTCCTCTCTACAGCCCGCGTCGTACATTCACAAATTCAGATATCAAAAGCTTCAAAGAAATTTTGCAATTCCAATTCTCATTCTCATTCCCAGTTTAATTGCTGTATACCCCTGCTGTACCTTTCTTTTCCCTTTTTTCGCTTTTGACTGCTGTTTTATCGCCAAGACGCGATACTGTATGTACAAATTATAACAATCCTACTTTCCCACGTATATGCCCTTTTGATAAGGTCCCATGTCTCCTTTGTCACTTCCGTCCCTTTATGACGGCGGTCAATCATACAGTTGGACAACCACCATTGATGAACCTTATTATACTGATGAGGGTGTGTTTCAGTTCAATTGAGCATGCGCAATGATTAATGCTAACATGTTTCATAGATTTGGTTATTTTACATGATATCGTCGTTCGCGCACAACATCTCTTACCCACTCTACCTCCAAAGGATAGACTCCCCACATTAGCACTCGCCAAAGCATACTACGAATTCCTACCTGACCTTGGAATTCACCCCGACCATGACAGTCGATACTTCAGATTCATATTCAAAATCGGCGTCACTGGAGAACCCACCGGCACACTCTTCGACAAATTCGAAGAATGTTTGGCCAAGAGAGGCATTACTCTCGAATTCGATTACGATACACATGACTATCTACGAAGTAACAAAGCTACTTCTCAAATTGTCGCAGATAATAAGGAAAGCGACACTCTCTACAACGATGAGAATGAATCGCCATTACCACGACGCAATTCAGAGACAGGCGTCTTGGATCTGGGGATTGCAGCTCAGGCACAAGCTCCACCACAAGAGCCAAAACATAAAAGGAATAAATCAGTCTCTCCTCTACCTCTCGGGCCTGCCACACCCGCAAAATTAAATGAACTGAAAAGCTTCATTTCGGAAGCTACTCGCGCACCATCACCGGAACCTATCCCAGAACCTACACCGCAACCACCTAGAACCACCCAAAAAGGGCGCGAAGAACGTGGAATAAACAATGTTAGAAATTGGCTTGAAGCCAGTGAGAATGGGTCGCCTCGCAGTCAGAGCAGATCGATTTCTGCACATGGCAGCATTCGCTCAATTAATCGACGCCCAGAGAGAGGTGCTCCGAGGGGCCGTCCACTCGGTCGCATTCCCATAAGCAACACCACATACGAATATCAAGACGTCAGCGACGAGTTGACCACCCCTTCGGAAGCTGAAGAAGATGAAGCGCAAAAAGCCGAAGAACAAGAAGTAGAGGAGCAAAAGGTTGAAGAGCTCGAATCCGACGACGAAGACGGCGAAGAGCAATTTCATGACTCATTTGAGGAGTTAGAAGAGGAAGAGAACGACGAGGAATTCTATGATGCGAGCGAAGTATTCGATTTGAATAACCCATGGGTTCGACACGTAATCAAACAAAACAAAAAAGCGAAAATCATCAAGGAACATTATCTTGATGATTTGATGATCAGAAAGCTACTTTCATGGCGAGATCAAGCAAGAGAGCGTCTAGAACGAAAAGCCAAGCTGAATGCTGTAGCTATGAAGCACGATACCGGCGCCTTGAAAGAACAGGCCTTGTCTGGCTGGCTCGAAAGAACTCGGGCTAAAAAAATTCAACGATTGCTGCTGGAAGCCCAGGCGCAACAACAACGTCGTCGTCAAGAAGAGCAACGTCTTCAGGAAGAGCAACAACTTCAAGAGCAACGCCTTCGGGAAGAACGACGCCTTCAAGAAGAGCAAGAGAAGCAACAATTTGCCTATCAACCTCAATTGGAAGCCGAAGAATCTGAACCGAAAGCTGTTACAATGAAGAACAACAACGCTCTGAAGGAGCAAGCACTGTCTGGCTGGCTGGAAAAAATCCGGGCCAAAAAGGCACAAAAGCTACTTCTAGAAGCTCAGGCGCAGCAACAACAAGACCTCGATGAACAAAACAAGCAACAATTTGCCCATCAAGCTCAATTGGAAGCCGAAGAATCTGAACCGAAAGCTGTTGCAATGAAGAACAACAACAACGCTCTGAAGGAGCAAGCACTGTCTGGCTGGCTGGAAAAAATCCGGGCCAAAAAGGCACAAAAGCTACTTCTAGAAGCTCAGGCGCAGCAACAGCAACGCCTCGATGAACAAGAGAGGCAGGAATCTGCTTATCAGGCTCAATTGGAGGCTGACCAGAGACTTCATGAACAAAGAATACATGAAGCTCAACAAGCAAGGCTTTATAAGGCCCAGAAAGATGCCGAAAAAGCGCGTCTTGCTGAACTGGAAGCTGAGAGAGCTGAATTGGAATTTGAGCAGAAATTCCGGGCGAAGGGAAAGAGATTTGCAAGGATCGGATTGAGAGCCGTGTCGTGCAGAAATGATCATCTCAAGGAGAAGGCTTTCACCCATTGGTTGGCGATAGCTCGAGACAAAGTTGAAGCCACAAAAGCGGCAGAAAGACAATTGATGAGGTCGCGCACTTTCAAGGCCTGGAAGTCTCACACGAAGGAGAGTGAGGAGAAAGTCCAGCTGGGCGAGGAAAAAGCTCGACAAGTCCAACTGAAAAAATTCCTCGGCAAATGGAAAGCAAAGAAGGAAAAAATCGAGGTGGATGAACTGGAAGCTGCTGAAGTTGACAAGTGCAACATGCTTGAGCGAGTCTTTTCAAAGATGGCCGAGAAGAAAAAGGTAAAAGATTTTTCGAAAGAAGTCGAGCAAAGGAATAAGCAACGGGCTTTGTCGACATGGGTAGAAAAGGCACAAGCTGTAGCCGAAGCCACCCAGCTAGCAGATGATGAGAATTTACTGAAGGCGGTCGAGAAAACCATGAAAACTTGGAAACAAAAGACGGTAAAACAAATTGCACTCAACCAGGAAGCCGAGATTATAGCCGAAACGAAGAAAAAAGCCGATTCTATGCAGAAATGGCACCGCGAAGCTCAGACAGCCCCTGCTAGAAGAAGGGTACAGGGTGGCCACAATGCAGGCGTACTCAAAGGCACTTTGCATAGTTGGAAAAAACGTGCCGAGAAAGAGAGACTAGCTACAGAGATCGATCGTGCCAAGATCCTCCGTGAAGCATTTACCAAATGGCGACATCAGACCAGGGCGAAGATATCACAGGCCATTTCAGAAGGCCGTGCTGTAGCCAAAGCCTTCAAAATCTGGGAATTGCAGACAAAGTTAAAAGGTGCCAAGGCACAGAGGGAGGAAGATATAAAATTTGCATGCTTGGAAGTCTGGTTCGATAGGGCTCAAGATACACGAAGCAGACGCTGGGAACGCGAAGAGACGGCTCGACGATACGACAACACAAACCTAGCAACGTCTGTCCTCAAATGCTGGTATGCAAGAATGGATGAAAAGGCCGATTTTGAAGCCCAAGCTACGGAACTTCAAGCTCCACGAATTCTAGGTGAATGTTTCGATTCTATGCGCGAGAAGATGAAGAAAATCGCCATAAATAATAAGACCGCTCGTGGATGCAGAAAATTCTTCCTAATGAGGACGGCTTTGTACGCGTGGCGAGACGCAACATTTAAGGCGAAACGAGAAAAGCGTAAACAAGCATATATCAAAGTTCGAAGAAACAGAAAATACGCTATTGCAAGAAGATGGTTTTCTTGTTGGCGCGCCAAGGCACAAGAGAAAATGGCATTGAATGAGCAGGCTGGTCAGTTCGCCCAAGGTAAAACATACATCATAGGTATGGACAAGTTTGACCAATGGAGAGCTCGAACGGATGAAGTAGCCGAATATGAACCCCTTTGGAAAGAGATGGTCATGAGGAAATTCTTCAATAGATGGAAGAATCGCACCGAGTCATTACAAGTGTTGAATATTGAGGCAACACTTGACCACCAGGAGCATAATCAATCCGAGGCGCTTCGAAAATGGAGATTGAAGGCGATCCAAGCAAAAGCTAGGGCGAACACTGCAAAGGAAGTGCATGATAGGAGCACAAGGAGGGGTCAGAGAAAGATGCTTCATCACTGGCAAAAGCGAACTGCGAATCAGCGACCAATCGTGGAGGATGGCACACCTCCTGGAACTGAGACAGCAGAGAATTGGTCGGATTTTGGAGATGAAGTTGAGATGGATGAAATCTCACGAAGACTTTACGAAAAGCGACCGGCTATTGAGAGGAGACCGGCTGTCTTGAATCCAATAACCCCTGGATACATGGCTACACCCTCTCGAAGAAGAGTTGCTGCATCTGTACGTTATCAATCTACAAGTGCCAGAGGGACATTGCAAACCCCCAGAACTGCTCCAATCAAGAGTAGGTTCGGCGAATTCAGGAGCATCAGGGAATGATTATGCTGGAATGACAAAAGGTGGAATTTTTTAAGAAGGCGTTTTTGGTTAAAGAAGTATAGATACCCCCTTATGAATGGTTGGAACGGAATGGGACAATTGGAATAGATTAAACATCAATAATAAAATATTAAAGAAAACGTTCTCCACAATGCCAAAGTGAAAATAGTGAAAATTATGACGCGATGTAGTAAGATTACACAAATCATCAAATTTGGATAGATCTGCTTGTAATGGTGTAAACGTTCGTATGGTTGTGGTTATGTAAACCCAACTCCCTTTCTAGTTTTAGAGATTATTATATGCGATAAGTATGTAAGCATAATTTCATTCTATTGTTATTCTATCCTCTCTAGTATCTGAAGATATATTGTTAAAACGGCGCCAGTCAGGGCTCTGGAACTACGTTTGCGATCGCATTCCGGTAAATTTTCGAATTTTGGTAAAGTCAACGAACCTATTCCGGTACATCAGGCCAGTATATCCCAATGTTCGAGACATAAGCTGGCACAAAAGAGATCAATTTTAGATTTTCAACGGAACTCTAAGATGTGCCCCTTCATCGGATGATATTCAAGCGAGGAACCTTCTCAGAACTCATACTATGCGTTGATCGCCACGAAAAGATCATTGTTATAAGTATGAAGAGGGAATTCTTGTTCCCAAAGCTACTGTTCTTAGATTATGTATGCATATAGCCATACTCTCTATCCAGAGCCCAGCAGCATTGTTTAACGATAATCGTTAGGTACTCGAATTCAATCTCAAGGTCGAGGGGTCCATGATTTTGTCAGTTGGACCTTTTTACATTTCTACTTAACTATTAAGTGATAATATGAATCAAATTATTTGCTGGTTATCTACAGCCTTATGCTTTACGATTTATATACTGTCGAATTTCAACCCCATTTAGAAGGAATACGATGATAAGACAATCTTAGATTTTGTGAGGTGATGAGTATTACCGTTGATGTTCGACCTCCTTTTTCCCCAGTCGCGTAACGTTAGTGTATGTAAGAACCAGGGTGATCATCGTCATCCTGCTGATTTCTTGTACGGAACCGCACTATCTATTGACCGACACATCAATTCCAGCTACAATAATTGGGAATCCTCTTCACCAACAAACTTAATTGCTTTTCGACTCCTTTTACTCTTTCCCATTGATAATTACTCATATTGAGAGACTTATTTGTGTTACTTACTGGAAATATGCTCCGGAATGCGCTCTGATAAATAGGTATGAGAGCAGTGCTTCCTGGAAAGGCACAGGCCAAGCTTCAAGCTGTCTGTACTGGTTATTGGAACGACAGGAGGCTAATAGTGAGTTTGCAATGATGTTCCGGGCATCTTGTATAGTTTTATTTCTTGCTTACATGATGCGCAGGCCTATATTACGGGAAATGCGTTTGTCATACTTACCGGCGCAGACGCGATCCTACAAACGATATACGATGACGATGACACTCAACTCGAAGCTATTGCGCTGGACGAAAGTAGTGGGAAGATAGCAACGTGTGCGGGATCTAATGTCCGGATTTACAAACCATATGGCCAGGATGAAGGGGTACTAAAGGTGACCATTACACAACCATAACTGGCCTCTTAAGATGTGGCGCTAAATATATTTAGTGGTCTCTACAACACAGCATTTCGATTGATGAAAGCGGGCTTGACACAGCAAGCACATTATCATGGGGAGTATCAGAAGAGTTGTTGGTGGGGAGCTCCTGGCTTGCTTTGTATTCAACAATCGATGCGCCAGTAGTGGTTTGGAAACAACAACTTGCGAATCCGGTAAAGTTCGCAAACTTCTCGTACGATTCGGCATTCATTGCTTCTAGTGGAAAATACGACAGATTTGTGAAGATATGGAGGAGATTATCATTTGGGAACGACGACTCGAGATTTGATTTTACCTACCTACCACATCCGCGAACAGTCACGAATATGCACTGGAGAAGACCGTTCCATATCGACCAAACAATTGATAATGTGCTATATACAGTGTGCGCGGACAATTTGCTAAGGATTTGGGCGCCTACAGATGTGCATTCACTACAGAGTCTACAACTTTGGGGTCAGATTGATTTACAGGAATCTATTAAACCGAGAGGATTGGACGGCGAAAAGTTGTCGAAATTACGATTCGCATTTATCATTGATGGGAGAGATTTTACGGTTGCCACGGAACATGCAGTTCAAGAGAGAGCAGCGAGCGACTCGAAGGATGACCACGCTCTGGCGCATTTGATCGAAGTTGCAAATCGAAATCCGGAAATTTGCGTTGTACTGGATGAACATGGACATCTTTCTGCATGGGGATTGGAGAATATTGGGTCTAAAACGAAACAACCGACGAACATTTTTAACATTGCACATGTTGATGGTCTGGAATTGAGTTTGCCAGCGGATCTGGGCGATGACGCAAGCTATATTCAGCTTTATAATTTCTGCAACCATTCTGGTGGTAACCTTAATGTTCTAGTTCACCATTTTGATGGGAAAATTGAGTTTTTCGAAGCCGACGTAGCCAACTTATTTGATCCTTCACCAAGGTCACACAGATTTCAATCGAAAGCTCTATGGACAGGTCATTCAGCTGCAATCAAAAAGATTGTGCGTAATGTCAGTGGACGAGCAGTAGTTTCGCGAACAGATGGCAACGAAAGTATAGTTTGGAAGCATCTGGAACATGCAGGCGGAACTTCAGTATTCCGCCAAAGTATTATCACGCAATCTGAACACGTCCATAGGATATGCGTCATGAGAAAGGGAAACTTCGTGATCTATTTACACCACGATCACATTACCTTATGGGATACTAGGCATCCCGCGGCGGTCAAACTAGCAGATTGTAAGTTTTCGATTGCGGGGAAACCTTTGTGTATTCTCATGCTACCTGAGGTTAATAAGGAGGGTCCTGTTGCTCATGTCGCTACAATTACTTCCAAGATGAAGGGCATTGTATGGGAGGTCAGATTACCCCAAAGAAGGGGAAGTGCTCAGGTCAATGGATGCCGTCAAGAAGCTTCCATTCGCGAATTCTGTCAATTTGACCTTGGAAATGATGACGATTTAGCCTATGTTCTACCAGTGGATCCAGCCGGATCCCCTCCAGTTATCTCGGGATTCTTAGATACTTTTGCAAGAGATATTGCAATTTCCTACACGCATTCTGGACTGTTGAGATCTTGGACCGCCCGGATTGATATTGAAAAAGAAACGGTTGACTGGCTACAGACTTGTTCAGTAGATACAGGTATTAGTGAACCTGCTTTAGCTAGTGGGAGCTCTATTAGGAAAGCTGCACTTGTGAACTCAAGTAGATCGGAATTGACCATTTGGGACGTCAGAGGTGCACGACTTGAGTATTCTCAGGATTACGAATCCCAGGATACTATTCAAGATTTGGACTGGACTTCAACGCCTGACGATCAATCGATTCTGGCTGTTGGTTTCCGTTACCGTGTTATATTATTGGCTCAAATGCGATATGATTATCTGAATAAAGGGCCAGCGTGGGCAGCAATCCGAGAAGTCAATATCCGAGATTTGACACCCCATCCGATTGGTGATTCAACTTGGTTAGGAGGTGGTAACTTCATCGTTGGTGCTGGTAACCAGTTATTTGTTTATGATAAAGAGGTTGACTCGTCAGCATCAACTTTTCTACCGCCTCGTAAAACTCCTTGGGACCTCTTCGATATCGTTTCAAGGTTGAACGGCCCACTGCCGGTTTATCATCCACAATTCCTGAGCCAGTACATCCTTGCTGGAAAGAATTTATTAGTTCAGCATATTCTATTGGCACTATATAAGATTCTTAAATATTATATTGAGGGTGAACCAATCGACTCCCACCTGGGGATGAACATAGAAGATTTCTACATCAGCTCGGAAAATGCACCTTCAGCTAGCAAAGGAATCAAGTCTACATTCGATGGCTTCTCCGAAGACGATGAGGTCGAAACAGTCACAGAGAGCGTTGCAGCTGCTATAACCGAGAAATTGACACAGATTGCTCTACCTCAACTTTCGAGGCAGGAGCAAATTCACCTGGCTGATATCGTTGAATGCGTAGCTATAGTTGAGCGTCAACGTAGATCGATGGATGATAATGCCGCAAGATTTATGTTGTTCTTCAGACAACATGTTCTACGTCGTGGCCGTGCGAACGAACTTAGTCTTTCTTGGAGGGAGATCAATTGGGCATATCATAGTAACAGTCAGGATATTCTGGCCGATATGGTATCGCGACAATTCCATGGAAGAATGCTTTGGGAACATGCACGAGAGAGTGGTATCTTCATGTGGATGACGGATGCAAATGCTCTGGTATGTAAATATTCTATCTCCAAACTCAAGGAAGCTAACAAAAAAACAGAAAGCTCAATTTGAAGTCATCGCTCGGAATGAATATACGAAGAATGATCTCAAAAATCCCATAGATTGTAGTTTGTACTATCTCGCTCTCAAGAAAAAGGCGGTACTACAAGGTCTGTGGCGTATGGCTGCGTGGAATCGTGAACAAGGTGCTACCACAAAACTTTTAGCAAATAATTTCTCGGAAAAGAAGTGGAGAACTGCTGCAATGAAGAATGCATATGCTTTACTTGGGAAGCGTCGATTTGGTAAGTAATGCATTGATTGTTCTTATTCAGTATTTCTAACCATAACCAGAATATGCTGCGGCTTTCTTCTTGTTGGCCGATTGCCTTAAAGATGCTGTCAACGTTATTCTGAGCCAACTCAAGGATCTTCAATTGGCCATAGCGGTTACTCGTGTGTACGAAGGAGAGCATGGGCCTGTTCTCAAAGAACTTCTCGAAGAAAAGGTTCTACCATTAGCTGCTCAAGAAGGTAACCGGTGGCTTGCATCATGGGCTTTCTGGATGTTACATCGTCGTGATATGGCTGTGCGCGCTTTAATTGTGAGAATCTCTCTTCTTTCTCAAAGATTTCCTATAATACTAATGCCACTCTTCTAGTCTCCGGTCTACACACTCCTTGAAACCCCTCAATCACCAGATCTGAATGCCAAACTCTTCCTAACTGACGACCCCGCCCTCGTAGTTCTGTACTCACAGCTTCGACAAAAAACCCTACAAACCCTACGTGGTGCCTCAAAAGTAACACCAAAAGTCGAATGGGCTTTCGTATTACATAATTCGAGGTTGTATGATCGGATGGGCTGTGATTTGTTAGCATTAGATTTGGTTAGGAATTGGGAGTTCCTTCTTCCAACTAAACCAGATTTCAAGAGTTTTGATGGTGAAATTAATCCAAGAAAGATGCTAAGGAGGAGAAGCTCCCTGGTAGTGGCAGATCTACCGGCTAGTGGAATTGGAATGGGTTCTGCGGCTGGGGATGAGAAAGACATGCCAAAAGGACAACAAACCCATAAGCCGCCGCCAACAGTCTTTGAGGAACCAGAGGCAAACAGTTTGTTGGATAGTTTTGGGTTTTAGGTGGTGAAAATTCAGGGGCAACGGTTGAGGGGGGCATTTTGCGAAAGGCGTTTTGTTTTTAGTTCTACCATGTATTACATGCCCGTACCATATGGGCGAGTTCTTGGGTTTGGATGGACAATTAGGAGCGCAAGGTACATCGCGCATGCATAGCGTATGGGAGAAATATATGGTAATATGATTTGAGCATCTATATTTCAGCGTTGATCAATACTGTGATTTGATGCAGGACCTGGATTTGAGGGATATAATATCGTTGATTTCGTGAGCTGATTGTGTAGTTTTCAATGGTGCGAAGGCTAGCTGTTCGTGTATTCTAGTGGATATGAAACCTTTATTCAACATGGTTCAGTTGCTAGTTCGTTATGGGGAAATGTACTTTACTTGTATTGAGATGTCCTGAGAGTTTTCAGTTACGGGGTACACTCCACTTTTTCTCCGGAGTTGTTCGGGGGAGTTGATTGATGAATTTGTATCTTCTTATGGCGGGCGTAATATTAATTTCAATAATGCTCGATACTCTATACTCATTACTTAAGTCATAAATATTGTTCATAATTCTCGAGGTCGCGTGTACATTCATGATCCCATACTCTTCTGATTATATGACTGCAAGTATACATTATCACTCACTTCCCTCGTGGAGTCTATAAATAATATTTATATATATAGGAGTTTTGATACATATATGCTATTTATAGTCATTCGCAAGTCATTTTCACGCCACGTTTTTGATCTTTTGGAGTCACTGTATGGTGAATTAGAAAGGGTTGTAGGTGTGAGAGTCATAGATTCCCCTTTCGCTCCATGATTATTGCATATTCACCCTTTTTGAAGTCTTTGGGGAGTTTTATGAGTGTGGAATAAATGAGTAATGTGTATGTATATTCTGACTTGTAGGTTTCTTTTCCTCTTCTTTTCGAGTGATTCTTACAGTCATATGAAGTCAAGACTTATGAATAATGTGTTTTTAATTCATTGTATATGTGAGTATGCCCTTTTATTTTATTTTCGAGTCATTGATGGTATCTGCTTACAGTTCCCAAATGGATATAAAAGCGCTGGGCTCGTCTCTTTTGGAAAAGAGTTCTGTTTAGTTGTATCCGTCCGTTTCTACCTCGAAGATACACAGCATCAAGCGTATCATTCTAGTGTTGAAAACTTTCCAAGCCGAGCATCTTGCATACATTCCGTCACACACATCAAACCTTGCGACGTTGCTGCCAATATATTTCTGCCTAAACTTATTCGGAACTCCCTTCTCCTCTCCATATATTCTCCAGATTCAAAACCATGGAACATCGCCTTGCCGGTGGTCCTCAAGATCACCCAAACTACAACACCACTGTTACATCCACCAGAATGAGTATGGATATGCTAACATCCGGCTATGCGCCCGGTACCGAGCCAATAGCACCACCCCCAAACGCAACAGACGATCCTGATCATTGTGCAGGATGCGGTGCCTCGACCAGCGGAGCCCGACGTTGGAAGGAAACGCATTTACATTCTCATAATGAGTGTAAACGGGCTTACCAGGACAACACTTGTAAATTCACAAAGTATGTTACAAATGAGGTACATTAAGTCTATGTAGCTGATGAGAATAGAATTCCGGCAGCGGATCCAAACGGCGACAATATTGCCTTTGATGATTATGGCGATTATGATGCGTATGCTGATAATGCCCCTTCTGCTGCTGTATCCTACGATACGCAACAGTCCGTATACCCACAAGCGAGTAGTAGCGCACCTCAAGCTGAAAGTTACTACCCAGAAACGACTACTGGTACCGCTCACGGTGGTCAGTACTCCTCGACGACTGGTGGTGCGTCTCAAAATGAACAATACTATCCGGCAAGCAGTAGTGCATCTCAAGTTCGGGGTCATACAACTACCTCCCAGTATAGAGGTGGTACCGGTGGTAGTCGTGGTTATCGCGGCGCTGGTAATAACCGAAGAGATTGAAGTGATCGTGATAATGAAGGATGGATTAGCAAGCGTGATGGGGTTCGTGGTTGGTGAAGAAGATAGAGTGAAAGACACCGAATTTCTTTTAATAGTATGATGGCAAGAATAAACTATCATAATCATTTTTCGCATGAAGTCTCTAAATAAAATGGTAAATGTGATTTCAAGTGATATGTATTATTTGATAGTCATTTCGTTTCTATTCTTGGGTTACTCTAGAATGAACCCGAAAAGTATGCAATGATTGATTATATCGTTGGAGTTATTTAACAAACATTTGTAATCAGATCTCGCAGAAAATACTCATTCAAACTGTATTTTCATCATACTCATTCTATTTTAACTCTTCGAGAATCTCTTCATTAGTCACACAGTAAAAACTTGTGAATAATATGTATTTTTAAACATTTTCACTTATGAATATGTCTTGTTTTTCATATTCGAGTCACCCCAAATTCTCATTTCCGTCTTTCAAATGTTTACAAAAGGACTGCATATCCTCCTTCTGAAATCGATTTCTGTACTTTTACATCTGCTTCTACATTTACATCTAAACCATGCGCCTAAACAATTACATATCTGTGCACTTAAATTGAGAGGACATTTATCAAATTGTCAACAACCTATTCCAACATAAAAATCATACAACGCATAGCACTTCGAGTACCTTGTACGAATATCCATTCGCATATATCGATTTCAGTACACCGTTGGCAGTCATTCTTGATTTCTGGCACAATACGAAAAACTCCTGCATTCTTAGCATCCTGAAATCAAAATATATGTCAGACCCTAGTAGTCATTACAGAAGTGAAGGTGATCCTTTCGATCACCCGGCCTACGGTGCTACTGTTATATCCGCAGGCGTAGGCATGGGAATGCTAAGGTCCGGAATTACAGCAGGAAACGAGCCAGTACCGCAAGTTCCAAGATCATTATATGATAAAATACACTGTGGAGCTTGTAATGAATCAACGGAACGCTCTGATAGACATTGGAAAGAAGAGCACATTCATGACAATATCAAGCGTAGAAGGGCCTACTTTGAAGGAACATGCGAATATGAGAGAGACGCGTTTGCAACACGGCCGGATCCTATTTATAGACCTGAAGGAAATGTACCTCCCACACAAATCCCACAACTTCAATATTCAAACCCTCAACTTCAGATACAACAAACTCGGGCTTATTCATCAAACTATCCAGTCACTCAATCTGAAACTCAATCAGCTCAAGCTTATTTTATTCCAAACTCACCTCAAAACCCCCGGGAAGAGGAGCATTCGGATCAAGGACTTTCCCCTAACGCTTATCAAACTACTCATCCATCGGAGTGGCTACATTCAGATCAACGCCTCTCCCCTAACGCTTATCAAATCAACTACCCATCAACATGGCTAAATTCACCGAATCATCCTAGCCAACCAGATCAGGGGTATGCCCAGCATCCAACCGAGGTGCATGACGATCCTTACACTGATGATGCATCTCACAACTCCAGTCCCGCTTACGATTCAGAAGCGCAACGTGCTCCCGCGGCAAATTTTGACGCATCCCAAGGACGGGAATATACAACTACAACTCGGAATAGTGATAGCGGCTGCCACCGTCGTCGCGGTGCTGGTAGTAGCCGAAGGGGCTAAAACACTTAGGGCAGCGAAAGAGACATTCACAAATGTAATAGGGACTGTGTTTAGGATAGAGGATGGATGGGATAGGTTAAAAGCTTGCCTGATTTTCCAATCATAGTAATAATACTATGATAATGACTTTTTATAAAAATTCTATGAATATCATTTATGTGTCAATTATTTCTAGCACTGTAAATATTTTTGTCGAGTGATGTTTGTGAAGTCATTCAAAATCATTTAGTGATCACTTGTGAAGAAAAACATATTTTGGATTAGGAATCATCTAACCTCAATATACGAGAGTCTTTGTGCTATCTGAAAGAACTAGTAAAATTAAAATGAGTAGTATTTTTGAGCTCATTTGACAGTCACATATAATCCTATTCCGAGAACGATACTCATGTTAACCTCATTTTTGATATATATAGTCATCACATCATACTCATTGTATTTTCACTCCGAGCAGCTCTATCGAGTCATAAAGTATGAAAAACCATGAGTAATGTATATTTATGACATTTGTCTATGAATATGTCTTTTTCTTCTCTTTTCGAGTCATATTGGCATATGAATATACACTTTTCACACTTTTCGAATCATCTTCGAAGCACATTTTCAACACCTTTCCAGCTCCCAAATTTGCTTATAAGCGCTGGGTTTTCCCGATTGGAACTGCTTTCTGTAGACTTACATCTGCTTCTACATCTCTACATCTATACAACCTGATATTCACGTACATTCCAAGCCTTCAAAAGTCAGATACTTACATCCAAACCTTCGGTTTCAAATTGAGTCAAGCTATTCTAAATCTTTGGGGAAAAAGATATGTCAGGCAGTAGGAGTAACGAAAGGGGTACAAGAGACTCACATCGGTCAGAATCGAGACACACCCGTGGTGGTAGAAGAACTGATCAAGAGCCACGACGACAAAGCGATCAGCAAGCCTCTTCATCCTCGACATCACATCATCACGCTGTTGGAGCGTCTCAGCAACAGTTCTCACAAGAGACAGGCCAGCCAATTTCCGCAAACGAGCTCGAACTCTAGTTTCTGCGAAGTTTGCGGGGAAATACCGCATGCAGATTTCACAGGAGAGCTTGCTTGGTGGAAGTATAGCCATATGGTTGATAATCCTGACTGTCAGTTGGGAATGGAAAGGGCCCTTCTTAGAAATGCCTCTGTTATGACCCAGGCACAGGGAGAATATCTTCACGGACAGGCTTTCGCTGACAGCAATAACCATGGACAAACGCCAATTCCTGCGCCTATTCCCACCTATTCATCGATGCCCCCGCCAGCAGCTCAAAACATATACGCGAATACTCAAAGCCGATATGTTTCTCCATACCCACCCCAACAACCTCAGCAGCCCCAACAACAACAATACACCCAACAACCCCCCACAATCCAACCCGTTCCCAACCAGTCATCATACGAAATTTACGATGAGGAGTACGAAAACGAGCAATTAGATAGTGCAGCAGCAGCGAATGAAACAGTTTCCGGCCCCGGCTGGCGAGTCGAACCATCAGTCATTGTCCCTCGATCAGCTTATCCTAGTTCTGAAAGTCGCGGTCATCGCAGTTCGGGTAGGAGACACAGATAAAAGGATCGTGGTAGCGACAGAGATATTGATAAGCGAAGGGATTGTGGTTGGTGAAGAGGATAGAGGGAACATCTTTCAATCTTTTCGCTTCGGGCTTTCTTTATATCTACCAAATTTTTTCATCTCTTACATTTAATACATTTCACTTAATTCCTTTATCTCAAATCCTCAAATCTTCAACACTTCAATAGATTAGATTAGAACAGACTAGATAATAATAACACACCTGTCTGACTTTACCCACCTACTTTACCATTCCCAGCATCTGTGAATATCATTTGCATCGACGGTGAATTATACTCATACCACTACACCTGAAATCTTGCTACTTTTAAGTTCTCACGCTACTTGAATTCCAGTCTGTAATATTTAGATTCTATACATTCATTCTATCACAGATTCCCCCCATTAGAAAATTTAAGTTATATAAAAATCACTCCTTTTATTTTTAATACCCTCAGAATAATCGACCCTAAACAAATCCACAAGATGCGAGAAATAAATTGCTTTCCTCTCAATTAAGTAGATCGAAGGATTTGAGAAGATAAGAGAGAGAGCACAAGAGGAATAATTAAAAAATTGAGTTTAAAGTTAGATAATGAGATCTTCTTCTCATACAGCGAAAATTGATATCTGTTTACTCTTATGTCACTTAGATTCTAGCTTCTAACTCGGAATTCTAGCTTCTATCATACCTAGGTTCTATATTTCCGAGCCTAGAATCTAGCTATCATACAGTCCAAGTGACGTGAGAGTAATCGACCGTACTTTTAATTAGTAAAATTAAGAAATGAGAGGATAGAAGAAGAATCTCAATGTCAAAACACAATACAATATATAAGATTATATGAAATGATATATACGCACTCGCCGTATACCTTACCCCCTTCCTGTTCTCTCATCCCATCTCATCTATCCCTGAGTAATGAATTAATCTCTTCCCCTCTCCCACCTTCTCTCTCTCTACAATTAAATAGTATAAAATTAATTCCCCTCAAATCAAACAATTCTTCCACCATCCCCTTCATCGCTTGTTTCACATCATCCCCATCTCCATCCCCACAATGATATCTATCCTCATCCCCCATCACTCCCTCGCTTAACAACTCGCTTCACTCACTTCACTCACCACCTTATAAACAAAACACTATACTATCTACCCACCTACCTAATCACCCACCCACCCAATCTAAAACCGAACAATATATTCCCACTCTATATCTATATATCTATAGATAAATAGATAAATAATTAAGTCGGGTACCCTACTTTCGGGCCAACAGGGTTTTGGGCCACCCTTTTATACCAAAAATCACTTTTTAGGCCTATAGATATCTCTATCAATATTTAATATAATACAATGAAAATTTGTATATATATAATTCAGATCGATTTAAGCTTATTCTGAAATTTTTAGATTTTTAGGATTTTTTTATATTAAAAACTAAAACTTCAAAATATTAATTTTCAAATTTATATAGAAATCATATATAAATTTAATTTTTTTTAATAAAATCTTTAATAACTTTTTAATAATAATTATTAAAAGAAAACTATATATATTTTTAAGATATTTAAGCTTGAATCCATATAAAAATTCAAAAAAAAATTCAAAAAAAAATTCAAAAAAATTAATAGATATAGAGATACAATATACAATTGTGCAAACAAGGGAATTCACTTCAAAGGATTCACTTCAATACAATAGCAACTGTGTCAAAGGTATTTAGGCGAATGCGAAGGAGACTAGCTCTTTCAGTAGTGCCTATATAAGGCCTACTATTTCCCTCATTAGCTAGCTCCTTAGATTAAATACAAATAGACATTTAGGGGCCTACTCATAGTAGGAACTACGTCTTCCGTATCTCTCTCAAACCAACAATAATAAATTTAAAATAATATAAATAATCCCTATCATTTTGAAAGTACCCCTATAAATATTTATTCATAAAAAATTTTCTATTTTTTCTGAATCTTTTATATTAAATATATTATAAATTTATAATAAAATTTTATAATTTATTTTTAGCAATTTTTATTAAAAAGTTATTAAAGATTTTATAAAAAAAACAAATTTGTATATAATTCCTATACAAATTTAAAAATCGATATTTTGAAACTCTAACTCTCAATACAAAAAAATCCTAAAAATCTAAAAATTTCAGAATAAACTCAAATCGATCTAAATTATATATATACAAATTTCATTAAATTCTATTCATAAATAAGAAAGTTATAAATTCATTTTTTAGTGTATTTTTAGTGTAAAAAGTAGCCCAAAAGAGGGAGTGGCCCGAAAGTGGGATACCCGACTTACCTAATACTCAACTAATCAATCAATCAATTAAACAATTCATTTATTCTCTATTAATACACTCATATATTCATACACTCATACACTTATACACTAATTCACTAAACTATACATAATCTTAAATAAACCTCTTCTCCTGTTTAAATAAAATAATTAATGATAATAATAATAAAAGTAATAGTAATAATAAAAGAAATAGTAATAGCAAAAACTATTCATACTCTGTCTCTCTCTCTCTCCTTTTTTCAAACACATAAATTTGATAAACACTAAGCCTCACCCTCCCATTCACCCTTAAACATCACCCTCAAAAATCACAAACTATTACATCACACCACCAATCCCAATCTACAAAAGAGTAATAATCCTCCCACACAAAACACAAACCACAAATCACAAATCATAGAGTGAAGTATTCATATATCATTTATCATCTATCAACCATCAAACTATCCATCTAAGAAGCTGTTTGATCCGAACTAATCTTCATCTTCATCTTCATCGTATATATATTAATCTGTCCCCTTAATAATCCCTCCGTCCCTTCGTTCAGCCGTTCATCAATATATGCTCTAGTCAGATATATATTGTATCATATGACTGTGTACCTCATATGACTGTGTACCAGCGCAATATCATGCAGATAGACACTCGAGACACTCAATGCTCGCTCCTGATGCAAATGCATTATCTCGCCAATCAAACTCCGCGCCCAAGGTATCAAGACAAAGGAAAAGAATCGTAAATAGAGCCACAGCATATGAAAAAAAAAAAATGAAAATGAAAAGAAAGATGATGAGGAAAAAGTATTTCATCATCAGTAGAATTCCCCAAAATGTGAATGAAGATAACAAAAAAATCAGAAAAGCCAAGTCAATAAACAACAATCAAGCAATCAATTGTGGCGTATCTTTTCCCTCTGGCTTTGCACTTCCCTCTTCAATCACAACCTGCCTTTCATCATGTCCTGTTTCCGGATGAACCTCTCCCTCTCCCTCTCCCTCTCCCTCGTTGTCTCTCTCAATCCCCTGCTGTCTCCTAATTTTATCTTCCTCCAATTCTGCCGCGACTCCTTTCCTAGGTCTTTCCGCTTTCTCCAATTCCTTCCTCTGTCTTTTGAACACCGCCTTAACAGCCCCTCTATCACCTTTCTTCTTCGCCTGTACCGCTCTCTCCGCAGCTCCGACCCCCTCAAACGCTCCATTTGAACGCCACGTCCTACGTTCTCGCATGACCTTCAATTTCCCCTTCAATCCCATTCCCCCGTCCCGTTTTTTCTCATCCATCAATTTCCATACTTCTTGTATGACATTCCATCCATGCGTAACTCTCTCTTCAACCTCCTTTCTCTCTTTTGACTTTCCATCGAGTACGTTTATGTCTCGCTGCCCCTGAAGAATTCTCGCTCTTCGGATAAACGCAGTAGGTTGTTTGTTCTTTACCATTTCTTTATGGACACCTTTTAATGTGTATCCAAAAGGTCCAACGATGGCACTAATATCCTTCAACACGAAACCCGTTAGGCCCATTCCTACACCCTTTACAAAACCCAATGCGCCGTGATCCCGAGCTCCGGTGTATGGCTGTACTACTAATCCAGTAACTCCATCATAAATGCCAAAGATGAATTCTTCACCGGCAGCCTTTAATCCACTCTTCATACCCGTGATTCTTGTTGGTCTTCTTACGGTCGTGTCTCCATATAAACGAGGAGCATTATGGAAACCTTGAGCGAGAGCAAGTGCTAAATCCATGGGCGCACGAGCTACTGCTTCCGCTGTTTCACCAAAGCCATGCCCGATATCTTTAGCTACTGCTTCGGCTTCGTTATGTATGGAGTCGGAGGAGAGCATGGATTGATTATCGATGTTATTTTCGGGCTGTGAATTTTGTTGTTGTTCTTCTCGATTAGCTTGACTGTATTGGCGAGTCGGTTCACCGCTTGTAGTATGATTTGCCATACCAGCATCACATGGAGAATTCACGGCGGCCTCAGGGCTGGTATCGTGTGTTTCTGTCGCTGAATTCAAATCTTCGGTCTCTTTAGATGGAGTAGTACTTTCATCTTGATGACTCTCCTCTTGTATCGTTTGATTGTTAAGTGTAGAACTATTCGATGTATCGACGTTCTCTTGAGAATCAGGTTTCTTTTCAACAAGAGTGGTTCCGCTTCCACTTTTCCGTGCATCTTCCGATTTTCTCTTCTTCCTATCTTCATGCATACTTCTTCTCTTGATAGTCTTCCTAACCTTAAAAGGTATACTGCCTACACCAGCGGCAATGCCTGTAACAGTACCTGTAACAGCTGTTGTGACACCGCTAATAGGTTCACCTGGTCCTTCGAAATCATTCCATTCATGATGTCTAATGAGTCTCAACTGTTTCCAGGTGATTTTCTTCCTCTCCACTAACAACTCAGCAGCCAATGCGCTCAATCGCAAATTCGTCCCTTTCATGGTCCAAACCGCCACTCGATCTTCCAGAATCGAACACCGCATAGAATGTTCGCCTCGGAGCGTAAGACTTCGATGGAATGACTTTACTGCATTCTGTGCACCATCACCTTCAGCTTCAATATCCTTCGCGATCTTCTCTACTGCTTCTCTAGCTTCGTCCGTCAGACACTGCTTGATACCTTCTGCTAATTTATCAGCTGTCAATTCCTTGTAGGGAACAGGATCTGCTC